ATCAATGGTGAAGGGCAATCACCCTTAATGGGTGATCAGGATATGCATAGGGGATTAAGGGGGGGGGAATACAAAGAACACAACAGAAATATTAATACATGCAGGCTGAATGCTAGAAACCAGGAAACCGAGTTCTAGTGTTCCCTCAGACACGAATGCTGGCTTGGTGACTTTGGGCCAGTCCCTCTCTCTCAGCCCAATCCACCTCACACGAGTGTTGTTGTGGGGAAAATAGGAGGAGAAAGGAGTATTATCCCTGAGTTATTTATAAAAATAATACAGACAAGATTAAAACAAAAATCTAAAATCTAAATCTAAGTTAGCTGAGAAACAGTTGATGATATTTAAGTGTCTGGCCACTGGATGGAGCACTAATACTTCTAATAGCAAATACTATACTCCTTAACTCCAAGGTTGTTAATATTATGACAATTTCTTGGGATAGATTGATAGATATTAATTAATGTAGCTGTCAATAGGAAACAGTATGAACAAAAGTAGTATTTCAGGAGCATAACTGAGTGTTCGAGATACAAGAGCTGGAATTAAATGTATTTTTTTTAAAAAAATGTATTTTTTCTAATTCAAATGTTTTTGACATAGATTGTTTATGCACCTCTCACTCACACACAAACACACAAATACGCAGACATGCATATACACACACACAGTCAGATGCATGAGACCAAGTAGACATTAAGATTGAATTTGAATGTAGATATATAATATGGAGAGACTTCTACCTTCTATCTTTTTTGAAGCTTACTGGAGTATCGGTATCATTTTGGAATTACTTGCAAGCTAGAACCAATGACATGGTTTAGATAGACACCAGACACACTATCCTAAAGCAGATTTGGCCATTAACTTGCTTTGGGAATGTACAAATCCTAAACTTCTGCTTTCATCTTTTGATTGTATGGTTAGGAGTTCATGATTCATACGCTTCAACAGACAACTAAATCTTTTAAAAGTATTTCTAAAATTAGTGGGCATTCAGAAGAAATTATGGTCACAAAAAGTAGAGCCCTTGGAACTGCTGTTGCCTCCTCTTTTCCTATGTGGCTAATCATCTCACCATTAAAAAGACGGAGTGATTGTTTTCTGCTGATAGGAAGAGTGGGGAATCAGTAATCTTCCCCACTGGCTACTTAGTCACTTGGATCAGCTGGATCCCAGCAAATCTGACTGACAACGAAGCTGACAAGGTGGGAAATTGCTTACTGGCTTGGGCTGCGAAGCAATGATCCACAAGCAATCACTGACGGATAAGGCACATCAACTGCTTCGTTTTCCTCTTAGGATCCCTGCTCAGGATTGGTGGGAGAGAAATGTTCTCACTTGCAGGCAAGAGATCCCATACATGAGTGTTCATCTCACAGAAGTATTTGGAGACTAGGGAAATACCAGGCTAGCATAATTGTAGTTATAGCTTAACATCCAGACAAACTGGCCTGGATGTTATACAATATACTCATTCTATCAAGAAAGTGAGGAATGAAGTTTATAAGTCCCTTGATAGTTGATGCTGCACAAAATAGTTGGTTTGAAATGAATGAGCATAAATATTTTTAAAAAGGCTTTTTCACAGAATGTCTATTATTACAATAATAAAAAAAAACAGGCTTCCTTTATTCTTCCATGGAAACTGTCTGTTAGTAGTAGCAGCTCATCCAATCTATTTACAAAGAAGTGATAAATGCTGAAATCAAGTCAGAGATAACAAACAGGCAACCACCCAACTGTGAAATCATCTGGCCTTCATCGTGCCATAAAACAAACTGAATTCCATGCTGCCAATACAGACGTCGTGGCATTTTCGTCCTTGCATGAAAGGGATGAAGCAATTAAAATATTGCATAATTTTTCAAGATCTGAAAAAGGAATTTTAACTTCTGTGCCAGGGTCCTGTGACTAACATTCCCGCTCTTCAGCCTGTAGGTCAGCAGGAACAGGGTTGATGCTGAGTTCATGGTCCACAACATCTATAGAAGAAGTTGCTCAGGCAGCTCCAAAGACAATTCTCTGGTTGCAGCTGTATATTTATAAGGACCGGCAGGTCACCAGGTCTTTGGTGCGTCGGGCTGAAAAAGCTGGATACAAAGGCATTTTTGTGACTGTGGACACCCCGTATCTCGGAAAACGCTTAGATGATGTACGCAACAAGTTTCATCTGCCTCCGCATCTCAGGTACGTAGAGTCAGAGGTATCAACTTTCCATCTTTTTCTCTGTATTCAAATCTTACATCTAAATACCATGCTATTGCCGTAACAATAAGCTATGAAACGTGGTTTCAATTATTTCCCAACGCGAAACTCCTTTTTCCATACCTAGTATGGCAAATATGGGAAGCAGAAATATCTCATGCAAGGTGATAATTTCACACTGAACCATGTCCGCACATTTATAAAAACAGTTTTACTGGTGCTTTATACTGAAACCCTAAAAGCCATCCCTAGTTAACAAAAAATTGTGCTGCAAAATAAATTTTGGTGTTGCACAGGAAGTGGGGAAAAAAAATCTCCCGTTCTTCCAAGTGTATCCATTTTAGTCATGGCACTTTGAAGGATTATTTCCCCCTAGACCAGGGGTGTCAAACTGGCGGCCCGCGGTCTGGATGCATCACGTGCAGGGCATGCCCACCCCGGCTCCACAAAGGCAAAAACCGTCGCAATACCTCATGTGACGCAATCGAGTTTGACACCTGGGCCCTAGACTAACAGAATGAAATTAATTATTGAGTTTATCCCTTTTCATATAGTATTATATCATTCGGTTTGCTGCCAGTGTTGGCAAAGTTGAATATTGATTGGATATGTTGTTCCATACTCACTGTTTCTAGCCGTTAATGGGAGAAGCAGAAAATGGTGTCCTTTCAGATACTGCTGAATTGCAGCTCCAAGTTTCCTCAACATTGTGTATCTTGGTTGGGGATGCTGGGCACAGTTGTTCCATATTGTCTGAAAGATCACTGTTCACATCCTCCTGCCCTTAAGACTAGAGATCTATGAATCATTGGGAGGCAGCTGTGTTTTGAAGGGTCTAGCAAAGCTGCTTTGAGTACTTGTTCTAATATTCCGAACACCCATGTACAAAATAGGATGTGAGGATGGCCAGCAGGTGCTTTGAAAGTCCATGCAAGATGTTAGCTTTAATTAATTCTTCTCCTTCACTTCCTTTGTTGGATTTTGGGACACTGTGGGAAGATGGGAAGTGGATTGTTCTTTCTTTCTTTCTTTCTTTCTTTCTTTCTTTCTTTCTTTCTTTCTTTCTTTCTTTCTTTCTTTCTTTCTTTCTTTCTTTCTTTCTATGCTATACATTAAAGCACCACAATGGTCATTCTTCTCAACATTTGTTGATGATATTTTTGCTTAGCCCAAGCTGAATGGATGTGTCATACAGTACATGGCACAATTCAAAGTATACACAGTGATAGACTTCACCTGAGCCACAATATAATGTAAACTGTGATGAATCAGACATACTAATAGTTTATTTTGTCCAGCATCTTGTAGTCAGGATGTAGTAGTTAGCCAAACAGTTTCACGAAGCCACTGGGAGGGTCTGAGTCATAAGTCCTTCTTGTGTGAATCAATTTTCCATTCCAAATGTTTGGTATGTAACTATACAGTATCCTTCAGTACAGAAGCTTGTCTATTTTGTTTCTATGTATGGATAATTGTCACTAACAGTTCTATTGGCTTCCATGGAGTTTTCAAATTATCTTTAAAGCTATTTAGTTGTCACAGTTAAGACATCTTGAGTAACTAATTCTAAGTGAACTACTATATGTACACGGTACCAAGAAAACAAAAATTCTTTTCTTTTCGAAAGAAAAGAAAAATGCACCAGTGACATAAGGTATATTGTTGCATATACGACATTCGGCAAATGTTAACCCAAAAAGGTTCTCCGGCCATTATTAATAAACATACACACACACACACACACACACACACACACACATTTTTAAGGCGATAGTGAGTGTTGGTATTTTTCAGTCAACTTTTCTTAGTTTCCCCCAGCTTTCTTTTTCCAATTTCAGAATGAAAAATTTTGACACCAACGATCTGGCATTTTCATCCGAAAAGGGTTATGGTGAAAACAGCGGT